TTAGGAACTTGTGGTGGGTCAGTGAGTGGGTGTGGGCCAGACAATGTGAGGCCCTGATTTTTACCTTTGCACCCACTTCAGGAGGCCTACTTCAAGAAGCACAAGTTCAACACCGTTCCAGGTGTCCAGCTCAGGAACGTAGACAGGTGGGGACTGGCAGCAGGGTAGGGGGGAAGGATATGCAGGAAACTTGATGACTGGTCCCTGAAAGTCCCTTCCAATCCTGGGCCTGTGGTGTTTACCCCAGCCCTGCTGCTCCCAGTTTCTATGTGACCTCTTGTCCTGCTCAGTACTACCCATGGGAACTGGGGGTCTGCCCCCTCCTTTGACCCATTTCTCCCTCTTCTTCAGTCTGAAGAAAGAAGCTTATGAAGTAGAAATTCACAGCCTGCTCAGGTATGGCCTAGGGAAATCGGGATGTGTGGCAGGGAGTGAGGTGTCAAATAGTGGGGATCTTAGTTGGTCCCATAATTGGTGGGACCCTGTGCAAAATGAAAATCAGGGCCGTGTTTGGGCGTGGTGACTCAGCCTATAATCCCAGCACTTTGGGAGACCGAGGTGAGAGGATTGCCTGTGCCTGGGGGATCGAGAACAGTTGGCGAGACCTCATCTCTACAATAAATCACACAAAAAAACTAGCCATGCATGGTAGCATCCATCTGTAGTTCCAGCTACTTGGAAGGCTGAGATGGAAGGATGGCCTAAGCCCAGCAGATCGAGGCTGCAGTGACTGTGAGTGTGCCACTGCACTCCAGCTTGGGCGACAAGAGTGAGACTCCAACTCAAAAAAAAAAAGAAAAGAAAAGAAAATCAGGGCCCTTAGTTCAAAAATTACTAAGAATTGCAAAATGGTGACAGCCAAGCATTAAACCAAGCATAGGGTGCTGTGGGACATAGCCATGAAGCAGGCCCTATTTTAGTCTCATTCTTCCACTCCCCACTATAGTGAGGCTGAGGTCCTGGACCATAGCAAGAACCCTTGTGAAGACTCTTTTCTACCAGACACAGAGGGTCACACCTACGTGGCCTTTATCCGAATGGAGAAAGATGATGATTTCACTACCTGGACCCAGCTTGCCAAGGTATTCCAACATCGTACCCATCCTGGAGAACCCCTTGCCCCACACATGCACTGCCCTAAGATATAGGGAGGCTTTGCTCTGGAATCTTTAACCTCGGAACCTTATCTTCATATTCTCAAAACCCCTCTTCCAACCCCGTTGTCCAAATCCATATTCCAAAAGATGCTACCTCTTGCAAATTGAGGTGGCTGCTGAGGAGGGGTGGGGGCTGGCCCAAAGGCTCCTGGGTGCCCCCCCCACAGCTCTCTGACCCATGTCTCTGCTCCTACCCCACTCCTACCAGTGCCTCCATATCTGGGACCTGGATGTGCGTGGCAACCACCGGGGCCTGTGGAGATTGTTTCGGAAGAAGAACCACTTCCTGGTGGTTGGGGTCCCAGCTTCCCCCTACTCGTGAGTGGCCCTTTTCTGCCCTGGGAAATGGGGCCTAGTGGGATTGGGGGACGTGGCTATGACTTTTTCCCTATACATTCTTGTTTTATGTTTCCAGAGTGAAGAAGCCACCATCAGTCACCCCAATTTTCCTGGAGCCACCCCCAAAGGAGGAGGGAGCTCCAGGAGCCCCAGAACAGACATAAGACCTCCTCCAGGACCCTGCAGGGCTGGGTACTGTGTACCCCAGGCAGGCTGGCCCTTCACTCCATCCTATAGGATTTTGTAGATGCTGGTAGGGGCTGGGGCTGGTTTGTTTTTAACATGAGACTTAATTACTAACTCCAAGGGGAGGGTTCCCCTGCTCCAACACCCCTGTTCCTGAGTTGAAGGTCTATTTATTTACTTCCTTGTTGGAGAAGGGCAGGAGAATACCTGGGAATCACTGGGATCCTGGGCAGCTGATCCTGCCCTTTGTACACCCCTTACTTCCCAGGCCTGGCTCAGAATCTAACCTATTTATTGACTGTCCCGAGGGCCTTGAAAACAGGCCCAACCTGGAGCGCCTGGATTTCCTTCTGGGCTGGGGTGCTGCCCTGAGGGTGGGGCTGGCTCTTACTCAGGAAACTGCTGTGCCCAACCCATGGACAGGCCCAACTGGGGCCCACATGCTGACACAGACTCACTCAGAGACACTTAGACACTGGACCAGGCCTCTTCTTAGCCTCCTCTTTGTCCAGATTTCCAAAGCTGGATAAGTTGGTCATTGAATAAAAAAGGAGAAAATGTCTGGGATGTGTCTTGTGATTGTGTGTGGGAGGAAGGGGGGATGATGGGGGTGGTGGATGATGAGTTTTCCTTACTGCTCTCTTCAGGGTTTATCTTCCCTTTGGGGCCATTTGGCCACTAGGGGATGCCTAAGTCTCAAACTCCAAGATTTTCCCCCAGACTCCACCCTAGGACAGCCTTACTTTAGCCCCTCCCTACTTGGGGCTGAGCTTGCGGCAGCCACTTCACACCCCTTCCTTGCTGTTTAGCCAACAGGCTGGCACCTGTCCCTACTGATGGAGTTGGAGAGACCAAAAAGGGACAGGTGGAAGGGAATAGAAGAGTAGATGGTCATAGCGAGGGTGGGCAGGAAGTGTATGGGACAGGATTAGGCAGGCATGGTTCAGGGGACTCACTGGGTTGCAGATGGAGGCATAGGAGCAAGGGTCTTCATCAGATTCTCACACGGCCAGTGAACCAAAGAGGTTAGGAAGATCTCAGACAGTTTTAGAAGCTCAGAAAGTAGGTGGGACTGTCCAGAGAGTGGATGAGATAGTTGACGGCAGGGGGGCATGACATTTGAGGGATCTGTGAAGGACTTCGGGTCAGAAAGGTGAGCAGGGGTCTCCCTCACTCTATGTAAGTACAGAGCATAGGCCAGGGAGGCAGGAACTGAGTGGAACTCCCGCCTTCCCATCTGCTATCTGTCCTTCCCCCTCCACAGGTGCCTGGAGCCCAGCTCGGCGATGGCACAGGTGGTGTATGACTTGGGCGTTTCTCGCCACCCTGACGCCTTTAGTGTTTGCTGGAGCTAGAGATGGTGTTTGAGGTGGCACAACAGCCAGTTAGAGGAACAATTAGCCCATGATGGGGTGAAGGCCCGCCCTGGGTAAACAAATTCTCTGCGGCCTCCACACAGGAACCTGGTGGAAGGGGAGAATGTGAGTGCCACAGTATGGTGGAGAAGCAGTGAAGTGGGCTGATTCTTTTCCTTACCCAGCACTCCAGCAAGTCTCCTGGACTGGGCCTCACGGGTAGCTCTCAGGCACTGTGTGACTCTGGTCAGTTCCCTGTTCAGTTTTTGGGCTAAGCGAGAGGGTGGTCCTGGGCAGCCCTGGAAAAAGCCCAGGTAAAGGGATATGGAGGTCAAAGAGAGGTGAGGAGGGGAAGGCTGGTTCACCACGCTGGGCTTTGCTTGGTAGCAGACACTGCATCTTCCTGCCATTGCCTCCCTCCTTAATGCTGTCACTCCTGGATCAACGGTGATCAGGTCTGTGTCAGAGATATTCTGGCCAGGTGCACCTTCAGGTGAAACTAGTACCATGTCAGCCAGGAACACACCAGGCTCTGGAGTCACACAGGCTAGGTCCAAATCCAGGCTCAGCCCTCCACTGAAGACTATGGAACTGGGGCAAGTTGCTTGGCCTTTCCTAGCCCCAGTTTTCCCACTTGGAGTATGGGGATGGTTAGGACTAAGTGAGAGATCAGGTCTGAAGAGTACCAGGTAGGTCAACACCAAAGAATAAATGTCTTTCTCAGATTCCAAAGCAGGGACAGATCTGGGGCTTTGCCTTGCATGGGAAGGGTAGGCAGTCTGTACCCGCAGTTGAAGCTCCTGGAGGGCTTCCCAGAGCCTAAGGGGTGGTCCTTTCCCATTGCTCTGGCAGTAATTCTGATCTCCCCTTCCTGACTAGGGAACAAGGTTGCTATTTTCTTTTCTTTTTTTTTTTTTTTTTTTTGAGTTGGAGTCTCACTCT